ACTTCTCTCTCCCCCCACCTCCCGCCGGGCCCATAAAAATAGGAAAAGCCTAACCCCTCGCCAGCAACCCTGGGGCTGCCCTACCCGGGGTGTGCGTGTGTGTGGGGGGGTCAGTCCTGTGGGGAGGGGGGCGCACACCCACCCCAAATATATATCAGGGATGCAGGTTTCCTTGTTGGGGAGCAGAAATGCCAGGATGTCAATATTTCCAATAATAAATAATAATAATGTAATGGAATAAAACCACATTTGGCTCCCATTTTACCTTCCCAATTGGGAGACTCTGAATTCATCAGGGTAAGTTTTCACTTTCTTTTTCAAAGTGTTCCAAGTTCTCAAGCTTAAAAGGGAGGCTTTGCTCAGCGGCTGTCCTCCGAGGTAGACTAGCTCTGTTATTTTCTGGTGTGGCCTCTTCATTGTGTCAGAACTGTGTTTGCTCCAAGTGTTTTTTTAAAAAAAACTTTTTAGTGCCTTTTGACTTTCCCCCTCTCCCTTTGTTAGGGTTAATAAAATTTAAAAGAAACCAACTCTTGAACCAACTGTTCAGGGTCTTTTTTGGCTCAGAGGGTTTGTGCTGCTAAAGCTAGGTCTGGCCTTGACGAGCTACTGAGAATTTTAGTGCTGGGAGCATCTGACGCCAAGTTGATGTCATGGTCTTCACCTCCAGTGGCTCCCCTCGCTTGACCCACCCCAAAGATGAGAGGAGGGACTGGGGCTCTGTGGCCGGAGAGGGGGACTCCCCTAGACCAGGTACCCACCACAGGGTCTCAGTGCATGAATGAGATGCTCAGGAGGAGGGTGGGAGTGAGTGTGTCGGCCACTGAAGGCCACCTGGGGACCCACTGTTGTCTCTACCCAAAAGGGAGATGTGCAGTCTGGTCACATCGGACATTCTGGCGCTGCCTGGTGTCAACAAGGTGGCGCAGAAGCTTTTAAGCGATACCCGGTGTAGGAACCAGAGTTTTGAACCAGAGCGACCACACCCAGAATACCCACTCAGGGTAGCCAAAGCCTGGCATGAAGGATTGCAAGGGGGGTGAGGGGGGAATGTTTTGGACTGCCCCATGGGAGTGGGGGCAGAAATTGGCAGTTGGTAGACATGATGGCCAGCACAGCAGAGCTGATTGAGGGAGGCCAGAAGGGCTGCCGGTCTTTAGGATGGACAGCATGTGGGGGAAAGGGTGCCCTGGAGAGAAGGAGGGCCATGGCCGTCTGCAGGCCTGGGAAGCCAGAGGGTGGCACAAGCACCTTGGCAGTGGCTCCAGGGTGCCCAGGCTACTGGGTCCCAAGTGCTTTAGGCTAGATTTGTGGCAATCCTCAAAAGGAACCTTTTCAGCAGGCATCAAATGAAAAGTAGTCCATAAAGAGCTCGTTTCTTTTGTTATTTTCATTGTAACATCTTCCCTTTAAAACCCTAACTTCCTCCTATTTCCCCAGCAATCAACAGAGGGAAAGGAAGATAGCACCTGAACAGCCACCAACCCCCCCCCCAAACAATTACCTAATCAAAGCACCTGCAGTACATTTCCCCCAGAGCAGGAGCTGCCATCCAAGCACTGGCTTTGTAAACATCAGGCTGTGTTACACAATGGCGCACTGGAGCAAGGTTGTTGGAAGGGGGGTCCTGCAACCAGCCTAGGCTGCAGGATCAACGTCAGACCAAGATGTAACAACAACTAGGCATCCACGCCTATGGCTTAAAGGCAGTTGGTTCAACAGACTGCCAGCAACCATGCCACACACAAAAATGCATCAGGTCAGATGTGGGGCAAAGGAGAGTCACAAGGAGGGGGTGCTGCCAGGCAGGAGACATTATATATAGGCTTGTGACTTTCCTTCGCCCCACTCTTGTCTGACCTGATGCATTTTTGTGTGTGGCCCGGCAGCGCCCCCTCCTTAAATATATATATTTAAGGAGAGTCACAAGCATATATATACATATACAGTATATTTAAGGAGAGGTCACTGCCAGGCAGGAGACATTATATATAGGCTTGTGACTTTCCTCTGATATATATATATCACAAGGAGAGATAATAAAACAGAACCTTTGTCTGTGAACCATCCTTTTGCCAAACCACTGCCCTCAAAGGCCTTTCTAACGTTTCCCCCTTCCATCGTGGCTGTTCTATGTAAACAAGGATTCCAAACACACTTTTGTATATAAAAAATAAAAAAAGTAAAAGCAAGCTCAGTATCCACATGATCACACGTTCTTCCCAGTTAAAAATGAAAAAAGTGTTTCCCAAACTAGGCTAGTAAAGCACCAACTCCCCGACGTTGACGTAGTGCAGCAGGACCCTCGCACTGAGCCTTCGGCTTCCCATCCTCTTCATGCCAGGGGTGGGCCAACTTCTCAGGGTTAGGGAGGGCTGCCTTGTCCCCCAATAAACCACTGGGGGGGTCACATCCCCAACTGGCCACTGTTTCCTCTCCTGCCACTTGAGAACTCTAGTGATTCTGCAGGGAAACAGGATGCAGCAAGGAGCAGCTCTTCCCAGGGTGCACGTGCCTTTCCCTCCTGCAAGGCCCCGCTTTACAAGGTCAGGATGGCCAGCTAGCCATAATGCACGCAGTCCAGCACATCCCTGGCGAGAGTATAAAAATGAGTCCGTATGAGTGATCCTGATCTTCCTCCACGTGCAAACTCAAGGCAAGGTCCAAAGTGAGCCTGCTTCTTGTGTGACCTTCCAAAAGGCAGGCAGGGATTCGGCCCGTGTTCACTGAGCGGGACTTCATACAAGTTCAGTGCATTTGTATCGACAGAAGGAGTTGGTCAAACAGCCACTGGGACGCTCGGCTGAGAAATCAGAAGTCCAAGGAATGAAACCTAGAGGGGGAGGGAGCGGGTGGGTGGGTGGGAGGGACCATGGAAGGAAGAGCCGTTGCTTCCCTTTGACGTTCAGGACATCCCCGGATTTAGGTGGGTGTTTCCATTTGGATTCCTTTAATTGCACAGAGATGAGAGGAGATTCACCGCCAGGGTCACTTCATGAGATCCACAAAGACGGCATGGGCTGTGGTCTGACCAAAGATGAACGCTCCAAGGACCACCATGAACACCCCATAGCTGACCATCATCCACCAGCTGCAGAGAGGCAGGAAGAGAGAAAAGTGTGTGTTGGTATGTGCCTGCGTGTGCCCCATTGGCAAGCTGCTAAGAGGAACGACACCCTCTTCCTCACCTCCCGACGGGGGAGGATGGGCAGACAGAGGTGCAAGGAGGAAACGAGACACTCACCTGGCCGGCCGGGCTTCTTGGATCTCAGAGAGCTTGGTGTGGATGAGGCAGAGCCCTGGTGGAGAAGGAAGGACACAAGGGAGCCATGAAGGTAGGGATCCTGGCACGCAAGCCTGAGGGCAGAGCTTTCCTCCGCACGCCGTTCACAGCACCCTGGGCAGCTTAAGGGAACTTACACATCCCCCTCCACAAGCACAAACGGCAGGAGAGCAAGACGGGACACCAGGCTGCTCAAAAGCCACCTTGTGTGAACGGCCATTCACTTCCAGCCCCATTTAAGCCCTCCCACGGCCACCCCTTCTCCTCCCAGCCTTGGCAAAAGAAGGGAGGCGGGGGAAAGATACCCCGGAACACACCCGGGAGCCGGTGCGTTCCCCCCCCCGGCAGCCAGAGGCCAAAGGCCAGGCTGCTGTGGGGACAGAAGGGCCCTACCCGGGAAGACGAAGATGAAGCCGGCCGCCAGCCCGCCAATGACCGAGATGACTTCCACTGTGGGGACAGGAGGGCCCTACCTGGGAAGACGAAGATGAAGCCGGCTGCCAGCCCGCCAATGACCGAGATGACTTTGCCGATGTCGGGAATGAACAAGGCCAGCAGGAGGGTCAGCAGGAACCATCCGAGCGTCTGGCCCAGGCGCCGGCGCCGCTCCCGCACCACATCCTCTTCCACGGCTTCCCCCTTGTAGCGCAGCCAGAGGCCTTCCAGGACGGCCCTGGGAGAGAAGCGGGGCTCAGCCGGGGCCTGCGAGGTCCTCCCGCCACCAGGGCCAGTCCCCTCCCACCGCCCCTGGGCCGTCCCGTCCCTTTCCTCTCACCGGCCGCAGAAGTGAAGGATTGGGTAGGAGGTGAGGACGCAGAGGATGATGAAGGCCCGGGCGATGGCCACGGCCACGTCACTGGAGGGGTAGGAGAGGAGGATGTCCTGCTCCGCGCTCGAGCCGAAGGTCAGGAAGCCACAGACGCCTGGAGGGAAAGAGGCCGCCAGCGGGTTGCCTGTGGCCGAGGGAGGGAGGAGAGGCCAGGGGCCACCGTCTCTTCCCCAGACCACCGCCCCCCCGGGGATGAGCCAGACAGAGGGGCGGGCTGTGGCGCTCGCATGGCCAGTGGCTCCCTACCGGTGCCGGTGTAGACAAAGAGCGCAATGACCATGGCTGCCGTCACGACCGCTCCCCAGGGCTTCACCTCAGGGCGCTTCATGCTGTTGAAGACGGGCACACTGCTGACGTGGCACTGCCAGGGAGAATGGGAGGGGAGGGTTACTGGTCAAGGAAGAGACTAGTCCTCTCCTGGCTGCCCACAGCCTTCACCGTGGAGGAGGGGAAAGGATGTCCCTAAGCCCCCTGCCCCCCCCCAAGAGACGGCCAGAAACGAAGCCGCCTTTCCACCCAAGCCACGGGCAGGTCCCCCCAGCCAGGGGCCTCCCTCTTTTTGCCCTCTTGCGCAGCCTGGCAGTTGCAAGGGGCCTAGAGGCCAGAGAACGGGAGCCCACTCAGGACCAGACCCACAACGCCAGGCGCCACAGAGGTTCCTGCCTCCTGTCCTGCTCTGAGCCTCTTCCCTCCCCACCTGGCCATAAACCCTAACCCAGCCCTACCTGGAAGCCAAAGCAAATGGTGGGCATGGCGTTGAAGACGGACATCCACGACGAGGGGCTGCAGGAAGGAACACGCAGGCGGGTCAGGGTAGGGAGATTCATGGCCGATTTAGCCATTCCTCAGCAACAGAAGGCTGCTTGGGAGATATTTTTCTTTCTAATCCTATGCGTTCCAGTTCTTTCTGAACAGCCACCCTCCGCTCCTGTACCTGGTTGGGATTTCCCCCGGGGTGATCTCTTTATCGGGCCAAATATACTTGATGATGATGATCACGGTGACGTACCCAGTCCCCAAAACACTCAAGCCACTGCAGGAAAAAAAGGTAAGAGAAAGGGGAAGATGGATGGATGGATGGAGGCTCTCCACCGATTCCCACCTGCCTTTGGCACATACCCAGCACCAAATCGCTCCCGCCTGCCGGGCAGCAGAAAAGCCGCCAGCTGGACCTCCCGGGCTGTTTCCTCATCTCCTGTTTTGCCCTTCCCTACCGCCAGCCTTGGGGGCACCTGGCATATTTCTGGAAGCCGATTTCCTTGGGAACCGACAAAGGAAGGATGAGCAGGAAGGCGGTGATGCTGATGGTGAGTTTCCGATCCGTATACCAGTGAATGCTCTCGGTCCCCAAGGAGTCCTTCACCAAGGCTGCAATTACTAGGAAAGGAGGGGAAAGAAGGTGGTTGTCAATGGCAGGGCCCAATCCACCGAGGAAGTCTTTGTCAGCAGAACTGTACACGGCCAAGGCAGAGCAGAGAAGTCCCCACACAGAAAACCTGTGCCTGAAGGTCCAGGGAAGACACACACAGGGCAGTGCTCACGAACAGGCGATCTCTGTGTCACAGAACGCCCAGAAATGGGGTGTTGGGAGCAGGGGAAGCAATGAGAGGGGGTGGTGATAGAACGGCCACAGGGCTAGATTCGGCCTAGAAGAGAAGCTGCACAGACGGGGGAAGCTGCAGCGGCCATTTGCGTCGGCATACCTGCCTTACCGCGTGGTCACGTGGGAGAGGCACCAGATGGGCATCAGAGACCCGAGTTCAAAGGTTTGCTCAGCCACAATGTTCACTGGGGCAGCCTGGTCGTGGTGAACTAGGGAGTCCCACATGCATGCAAAAGAACTCACAGAGATGGCAAAAAATATCTGAGCCCCCCATGGGAAGCAGGTTTCAAGCAGAGGCGACCCACTCCCTGGGCCCAGGCGAAGTCCCCCCCTCCCCTCCTGGAGCACAGGGCCAGAGGGGATGCGGGTCAGCTTCTGCCCCCTCGTTGGGCAAGGAGGCTGGCACTCACTCTTGTCCTGCTGGTCCCCGATGATGATCAGGAAGGCGATACAGGTGCCAAAGGTGTAGACCACGATGGCCACTTCACACAGCACCCCCGTGACTTTGCCGCACACCGCCCGGACCACCTCCTGGTACGTGGCCTCGTTGCTGGCCTGAGAGCAGTAGGCGAGGATGACCAGACCGCCGATGATGAAGACCAGCATGCACTGCAGTCGAGGGAGAACGAGGTGGCCGTTGGCTGGGAGAGCAAGGCAAGCCTGCCAAGCCACCTCACTGCCCTGCTCCTCCGGCTCAGCTGGTCCAAGAGCAAAGGGAAGACCTCCGGGGTGGACGGGCAGAAAGCCCGGGAGGGTTTCTCCTGTTTTAAACAGGCTGGTGCTTCTCCAGGGAACTGGCCATAGGTTTAAGATTCAGAGCCCTCTGCTCTTCTTCTAAACCCCATTTTAAGAGGGACTTCTTGCAACCACAACATTTAAGTACAAATGCAACGTTTCATGAAGAAAGGAGAAACCAGCCAGCGAGGTCAGACCAAGGTCTGCCCCTGGGAAGGCCTCCCAAGATGTTCCCATTCAGGTCCCCAGCAGAGGCCTTTCCCTTCCTTGAGCACCCAAAGGGCCAGCGGGACTGCCCCCGGGCACCGAGGGCCCCTTTAACCACCCGGCCTAATGGTTCCTCCTGTTCCCCTGTTTGCTTCTTCTAGAAGCCACTGGAGCCACCATCACCTTCCCCAGGAGGAGGAGGAGGAGGAGGAGGAGGAGGAAGGGAAGGGGTGGCCATTTGCAGCAAAGTCCCAGAGCCCTCCTCCTGCACCCGCTGGCTTGTTGGACTTTCTCCCTGCGGACCCAAGAGGCAGCCTGGGCTACGGAAAGGGGTTCGGCCGGGCTCTCCATCGGAGGCAGCCGAGTGTGGCTTCAGGGACTCACTCGACTTGGGGGAAGCCATGCTTGCCCTTCCCCAAGGCTCACCCCACAGGAGGGCCCACGGGATCCGTTCTCGCCACCCCATGGCTTAGCTTGCTTTCCACCCTGCCAGGCCATGTCCTGTGGAAAGTCTCTGCCCTCAGGCCTCACGCTGCCTACGAGCTCAGCCCTGAGAGACAGATAAGGGGGGGGGGGAATGCCTTCCTCCCTGCCTGCTCTCACCATCTGCAGGGCGATTCCAGCCGCTACCCCTCCGGCCATGCTGAAGGCCGCTGGGAAGTTCAGCAAGCCCGCCCCGAGGGCAGCGTTCACCACGATGAAGACGGCGCTCAGCGTGGAGGTCGTGCCCGGCCCCCGCGGCTCCTCGCTGCTCCTCCTCAGCACCCCCTCCACGTTGGGGCTCTGCAGGAGCCTGGCCCGCTCGCCCGCATCGGTGCTCCATTCCCAGTCCCCGTATTCGGTGTTGATGGCCACGTGGCCTTGCGTCATCTCCGCTGGAGTGGGCTGCCCGGCAATGCTCCACAGCGCTCTCTCAAGGAGGCCCCTGTCTACCTCTTCCACCCTGCGCTGGGTGGGGTCCAGGAGGGCATGGAGGCGCGACGCACACCCAGGCTTGGAGACCAGCAGGAGAGTCAGGGCCAGGCCAGGCTGCCCGGCTCTCAGCTGAGGAGTCCTAGGAAAGAGGAAGAGACCGGAGTCAGTCCCGGGCAGGAGGAGACTCAGGGCGGTCTTTGCCCACTGAACAACGCTTGGCCCGCTTGGGTGGGGGGGCGCACCTAAGACACGGTGGATCCCTCTCCCCCTGTGCGCCCTCCCTCCAAAGTCACCCTTTATTTGAGGGTCCAGTTCTCACAACAAGGGGGAAGTCAAGAAAGGCAGCGGTGAGAAGGGATGGGAGGGTGTGGCGACAGAAGCCCCCACTCAAAGCCCTGGGAGGTCTGCACACGGGGTCTTCTTTCCCTAAAACAGGGCACTCTAAACTGGAAATCACATGGGCCACTACAAGTCCCATCATCCTTAGGAAAGGAGAGGCCTTGAAAAGGACCCAGCTGCAGAAGGCCAAGCCCACACCCTGGCAGAAGAAGGCTTTGCTCTGGAGCAGGAATAGGATGGACTGCATCTGATTTTAACCTCGATGAGTGTCGCCCGTTGAAATCGATGGGACCCGCAAAGGCCCACCAATGAATCCCGTTCACTTCTGGGAGAGAAGCAGGGCCCGGCCTCCAACCCCCCCCCACTCCCACCCCCGCCAGCTCTAAACGACCAGGCTTATTGCAGAGGACCAGATCCCTTCTCCCCCCCCCTCACCTCCACCCCCAACGCCCGACCGGTGCCCTTTTGTAACCCCCTCTCCCCCCCCCCCGGTTTCCCCGGGGGGACAGCTTCTTCCCCCACAAGGGGCAGCCGCTATGGTCATCAGCCAGGCCGGGGAGGGCTGACTCCCCGACCGCCCCCCCTCCCTCGAAAGTGCTGAGCCAGGATCCGCTGCTTCCTCTGCAATCAGCGACAAAGGGAGGCGCCTTGCCTGCTGGGGAGGGGAGGGGGGGGCAAAGTCCGAGGGTCCCGGGCCTTGCGGGCAGAGGCAGGAGCGGGAGGGGGGCGAACAAGGAAGCCCGGCGGCGCCTCCCTCCCCT